CTCGATCCCAGGACCCTGGGATCATGACCTGAGCCGAAGGCAGACGCTTAACGACTGAGCCACCCAGGCGCCTGATTTCATGTATTTTTGAATTAAAATTTTCAATTTAAAAATAAGAAAACAGAATATATTCACAGTAGAATTCATGATATGGGAGAAGTCCCAGTTGGGAAAGGGATGTTCTATTGCCAACTCTGAGGATGATCGAGGGAAAGCACAGAGATGTTTATTTGGTGTATTTAGAGTAGCAGAGTTACACAGACCACACGGACGTCAATGCTAATAATTTTAAGGTGCATGCCGGTGATTGATTCATTCTAACACCTACTTCGTGTTTGACAATGGCAGTGTGAACATCTGAGCTCTTTATTACATAAGCCCTGCACCAGACCATCTTCACATTCAAAGGAACCTGTGAATTTTTCAAGCTGCAGATTATATCCCATTAGTGGGTCAGGAAGTCAGTTTGGTAGGTTACACTAGGGATGTTTTGTAACAAAACAGAAGAGGATATAAAATATATGAGCATATGTAAGTATTTCATGATCTTGTTTCAGTTTTAGACATTTACACATATACACATATCTGTACTCATGTATGTACTCAACTATACAAACACTGACACATTCTGGTAACACAGAACCTCCAGTAGATGCAGGCATATTCTTTTCAGCCTTCCCATTAATAATAATAATAATAATAATAATAATACAGATGTCCCTGATTGAGCACTACTGTGGGTCAGCCGCTGTTCCCAAGCTCTTCTCCTGTATTGTTATTATTCTCCTAATAAGGCTAGGAGACGGGTATTACCATTATCTACACCTTACAGACAAGAAGACTGAGATATGCAGAGGGTGGGCAACTTGAACAGCACGTCCCCAGCAAGCAGCAGAGCTGGGATCTGATCCTGGACAATCTGACTGTGGAGACAAGCTCCTGTGGTCTCTACCTGAAAAGCCGAGAATGAAGGGAACCTGTGTCCTCCTGAGACAGAGAGCCCGTTCCACTGTCCAAGTCTCCCCGAAGGCTAGGAGAGCCTGTTCTAGAACGCAGATCTCCCAATTTCCAATCCTATGCTCTCCGTAGACCTCATACAACAGTATTCTTAGTAAAAGTGGCTTTGTGAAGCTGAAATCAAACAAGTTCAAAATAAATGAAAGATACACATAAGTGTCCTTGAAAGAGAACGTATTTATTTACATCACTATTTCCTTTTTACAACTCCTACACTTTTAAATAATAAAATTTTCCATGAAATCTGGTAAGCTTTAAATTAAGATATTTTAACAGAAGAAAATTATCACAATATGATTTTTATTTACATGAATTTCCAAGAGTTTTAAATAGTTCCTTTTGAAACAGCACAATATAACTAAAAGCTCTCATTTAGAACTTGCATCCTTTTCCAAAACTTTTAGTTTAAGAAATTAAGCTTATAATCACCTCCCTGTAGCTTGGATTCTTAGAGACGAAGATCTGTCAACACACTTACAAATACAAACCTGCTTCATAAATGATCCACGTTTTGGCTGCAAACTGAACCTCTTTCACATGTTTTGACACTAAGCAGAGATTTTTTTAGACACATTAAATTGCTTTGATTAAAACTTTCTGGAAATCTTCTGGATCAGTCACACAACTGCTTACGAGTTGGGATGCATGGATTCTGAGCACTCAATTCAATGTACGAGGATGGGCTGATCTCCGGTTCAGCCAACTCTGAAAGCGACACACTGGGATTCAGAACTTCCCTGGGGCAGCTTAGGTGCACTTTCCTCCCCATGGCCAGTCCTGTTTGGGAGGCTCCCTTTTCCTCTGATGCTGCACATGCGAATCACTTACTTTAAGAACCTACTATTCATAAAACGACTTCCAACAATAACAATGGTCAGACATCCTACCGTGTCACACTGAGCGATTTCAAATATTTATTAGTGAAACTACAAGAGAGGATAGATTTTCCTAACATTTTAAGCATGAGTTCCTCTGAAGAGTTGGTATAACATCCATTAAAAAATAGAAAAGATTAACTTTTACCATGATCAAAGCTACAGTTCACAATGAAAAACTTCTATAGCTCCGTCTACCTTCTCTGTAAGAACAGCCGAGGGCCAGTCTTGAACTTCATGCGGCAGCAATAGAGTTATCATCCACGAGCCGGCCCTGTGGCTTGAAAGAGGGGAAACAAGATGGGTTTATAAGACAGTAACAACAAAAGCTCTATTAATTGAAAAGATTTCGAAATTCTTGGAACTGTTTCATAAAAATGGAATAAACGTGTACAAGTATCAAAATCACAGTTGTTTCTCTCCTTCTTTCACCCCACCTTCTCGCTTCACTTGAACCTGGGGGGTGGGGGGGCAAGCTGCAGGGCCAAGGTGCTGCCCCTGTCCCCTCTGCCCCCAGACACTGACACTGCCAGACGACCGCATGCCTCCACTGGCTGAATCCGCCTCATTTACACTAGTCTCTAATTCTCTCCACCCTGGGTCCGAGCAGCTACTGATCGCGCGCCAGGAGCGTGTGAAAGGGAACCCATTTGCCATTCCTGCTTCAGGGATAGTTTTCTTTTCTCTCTTGCTCAGGGCCCTCCTGCATCCCACGCTTGAAGAAGGCCACAAACCTGAGCTAATAGACAAGTTCCTTGGGGATTCAAGGTCTCCCAATCTCCTGTTTGTAAGAAAGAGCAATTCACAATGAACTAGAATATCTAACAATGAACACTACAAGGATGGAAGCAGCAGATAAAAACAAAAATTTCCCTTTCCCTAAGGTCACTGAAAAAAAACTTAAAACATTGTATCACAAGAGTAAAGGCTACGAATGAATAAAAGTTATCGTGACTGTGCTTAGGGGTAAAACTTCTGACAGGTTAGCAATACCTCAGGGAGGCATCAAGGAACTGAAAAAATGAAATTCTTGCAAATAATCTTACTAAGCAGATGTACATTAGCAGACCTTTGTGGGAAAAGCATGAGATGGTATTCAGGACATGAAATAGAACAGTGTTACATCATCACCAAAAGCCACTGGCTGGGCTTGAAGCAGAATGGTTTGGGTGAGACTCCCTGAGACAGGGAGGGAGCACTCCTGCTTTCAGTTGTATTGCTGTACATTTTACGCATGTATGTGTGTGAGTGTGTATGTGTGTGTACATACATATACGTGTGTGTGTGTATGCATGCATACGTGTGTAAGTTAGGCCTCTGACATTCAAGGCAGGAACGGAATGAACTAAAGAACAGGTGCTTGGTCTTTTGTACTTCACATAATCTTTAGTACTGATAGAGGGTGTTCAGTTTCAGAAACGGAATAATGGGGGCACCTGCGTGGCTCAGTCGGTTCAGCGTCTGCCTTCGGCTCAGGTCATGATCCCCGGGTCCTGAGACCGAGCCCCACGTCTGGCTCCCTGCTCAGCGGGGAGTCTGCTTTTCCCTCTTCCTCTGCCCCTCTCCCTGCTTGTGCTCTCTAATAAATAAGATAAAATCTTAAAAAAAAAAAAAAAGAAACGGAGTAATGGCTCAACCTGATTATATCCTTACCAAACACAGCTTTACAAACAGGGACAGAAGACAAGAACATCATGCAATTAGAAAACTGGAATCTACTTTTCAAAGGAATAAAAATATTAATCCAGCCTTGAAGTAGGGCAGCACTGTCCAAGAGAACTTTCTGTGATGATGGAAAAGCGCTAGTTAGTGCTGTCCAACATGGGAGCCACCTGTCACACTGATTTACTGGGCACTTCAAGTGCGGCTAGTGCAGCTAACTAACTCTTAAATTAAATTCTAACTAATTGTAATTTACATCTCAGTAGGGCTCACATGAGTAGTGGCTATCGTACTGGAATAGCACAGCTCTAGAGTTTAGTAAAGGTGTGAAGGGATGTACAACTTGAGTCAATAAGACTTCACTAAGTGGGAAAAGGGTAATCCTCAGTCACCGTCCTTAGCGTGACAGGTCAAACAACTGTCACTCTAAGATTTCCCAGCTGATAAAGGAGCCGGCTCTGAGGATCCCAGCCAACTTTTTCGGCAGCAGTCAAGTTACTAGAAGGTAGTACTTGTATTTAGAAAAAAGAGCATGGCAGTTAGGAAAGGGCATGCAAGCTATGCTAAAACTTACAAATGTTTATTTTCCTGGAACCTTTCCTAACGGATTTAAGCACTACCCAGAAGAGGTTTACTGTGGAAGAACGTCAGAAGACTGAACTAGCGCGAGCTGGGATTAGGTTGGGTGTACCGAGCCGTACAGGGAAAGGAATGAAAGAGATTCGTCGGCGGACCCGAAATCCTGATTCCCCAAAATGATCACCTCTCACGTCTCAAACAGGCGATGTCTGTGCAGCTCTGTCTCTGTGGACACCTACTCCCACGCTAACTAAAGCTGTACTTCTGAATTTGGGAATAGCCCGCTTCAGAAGGTCACCCATGCCGCCACTGCTCCCCACCCGGGTCTGAAGACTTTTCCCCTGCAGGGTGACCTCAGACATGACAGGAGGAACGGCAACAGACGTGGCTTGTGAATGTGAACAGGTGGAAATGTTTAAAAAGCCACGGCTGGGGCGCCTGGGTGGCTCAGTGGGTTAAGCGTCTGCCTTCGGCTCAGGTCATGATCCCAGGATCGAGCCATCGAGCCCCAAGTTGGGCTCCCTGCTCAGCGGGGAGTCTGCTTCTCCCTCTGGCCCTTCTCCCACCCCCTGCTTGTGTGCACGCACTCTCTCTCTAACAAATAGAATCTTTTTAAAAAATT